TTCTTTCAAAGGCGAGAAAAGTGTCTTTCAGTAGATGGAGGAATTCTGTGCATAAATGCCTGAATGCAAAGACACTTAACTGAAAGATAAAAGAATAATTGCAGTAGAATAGCAGAGGCAAAAGCAGTTACGACAAAAAGGACAAGTGTTAAACAGGACAAGTGTTAAACAGGACTACAGTAAATGAAGAGGGAGTCAGGAGTCTTTGTAGCTGAAGGCATTACGATTATCAGAAAACAAACAGCACAAGTACAGCGTTGGAGCCCAGAAAGTCAAGTCCCAGAACCAGGATTAAATTTCCTCTCACTACTTATTCCTAGAAGAATTTATCACTTCCCTGAATTATTAAGTCAGTAATTAACTTATAATCATGTTCTGTTATACATTATATTTGTACAGTCCACGAGTACAACACTCAGGGCACGCTCATAAAAGTAACTTCTTAATTTTCCCCACTGTACCTTTACATTTACCTAGTGGGGGTAGTTCTTCCCTTCTCTTTAGAAGAAAACACAGGTGGGCTCTGTTTGTCTGGTGGCCTTAAGTCTTATTGTGTACTGGATATATTTTTTAAATTGAAGTGTAGGTAATTTACAGCGTTGTGTTAGTTTCTGGTGTACAGTGAAGTGATTCAGTTCTACATATATATATATATATATATATATATATATATACACATTCTTTTCCATTCTGGTTTAATACAGGGTATTGAATATAGTTCCCTGTGCTATACAGTAGGACCTTGTTGTTTATCTCGTTTATATATTGTAGTGTGTATCTACTAATCCCAAACTCCTAATGTATCTCCCCCCCACCGCCCGCTCCTTTCCTCTTTGTTAACCATAAGTTTGTTTTCTATGTCTGGGAGTATATATATATATATATATACCTTCTTTTTCATATTCTTTTCCATTACAGTTTACTACAAGATATTGAATATAGTTCCCTGTGCTCTACAGCAGGACCTTGTTGCTTATCTATTGTACTGGATATTTTCTATGTGTCCATTGGGATCCACTTTCCACCTTTCCCTGCTCTTGGCCCTGGGAGAAGACCTATATGGATGGCATTGTCCTTTGGCTTCAGTTTACACTTATCATCAGGAAGCATTAGCAGGAGATGGTAGAGTCTGGGTAGGAGGAGGGAGAAGACAAAGTATTTATTCTTCCTGTTCCCCCATCTACTGGATTGCAGTGGGTTGGCTCTACTAAAGAACTCCTCTCCTGCCAGGCAGCCCTCAGCAAGCCACTACTCTCTGCAGGCTTTGGAAGCCCATTCTGCCCCAGCACCTTCTGTGGTGCTGTTGACTTCCTGCTGCTGCAAGCCTGGAGGTTCTGCGCCATCCATGTTGCTTTCCTCAGACCCTGCTCACACCATAGTAAAATGTCCCTGTATAAAACTCTCCTCAATTACCCAGTTTGAGTGCCATCTGTTTCCTGCTGGGACCCTGGCTGATACATATGGCCACTTCAGTTGCAACACATAGTCTCATTTTGGTATTTAGAATAATTAATCTATGAAATAGTTAAAACTCCAAATGGGATTTAAGGTTAAGTTCCTTTCTTAGTTCTATTGGAGGAGAGGGTGTGTTCATCTTCTTTTTTTCCCTGCTTCTCTGATTTCCAATTGTTCATCACAGCTTCTGACCTAGTTAAACCTGGTTGACCTGGTGGAAGGCACGTAATGAAAAGGAAAGTTCTTAGGTTGGCTTCACAACATCCGATTTTGACAGATATTTAGATGATTCTTTTTCTCATGGACACATCTGTGGCTTCCAGAGACCTCCCCAGTATCTGAGTACCAGGCAGTATCTGAGTACCACAAATGCATATCTCCCCCAGCCCATCACTTTCTCTATTCAGCCTCAGCTCCCATCTATTGAGGAAAAGTCTGTTCTATAGAAGCATTTAGCTGCATTAAAGATGTTTGTTTTCAGGTTTTTTCCGTTTCTTAAGATAATTTTAATTACACATTTTTCCTCAAAAACCATTCTGCTTTATTTTCTGTTTACTCTAAGATTTAGTTAGAATTTTAAATAAAATCCAAGTGGATAGATTGGCTTATTCTTTGGTTGTTAAAAATCTTCCTCCCTTCCTCCCTTCCTTCCTTCTTTTCTTCTTTTTTGTTTAATTGTCAGAGAATGTAGCCTGCATGAGTTCTAATATTTGTGAATACTTCAAGCGTGTTTGAAAATAATTTTCTATTGCTGATTACCAATCTTTGTTTCTCTCGTTCATGTGTGTGTTTCATATGTATATATACACACACATACATATTTACCTATATTTACCTATATGTGTAAAGTCATACATAGACTTCTATCCATAAGAGAATAAGCTTATAAACTATATTAACCAAATTCTTTCTTACTTTTTCAATTTCTGAGAGAGTTTCTTACTGTCTTAATTAAGTTTTCAATATATCCCAGCATTTATAGCAGATTTTTTCTTGTATATTTCAAAACTCCGTTGTTAGATGCACAAAAGTTCATGATTACTCTATAGTTCTGGTGGGCTATAAGCTTTATTAATATGAGCTCATTATTCTTTGTCTTATTTGATGCTTTTTCCTTGTATTCATTTTTATATCATATTAATATTACTAAATCTACTTTACTTTTATCAGTACTTCCATATAAATATTTTTTTCCTCTTAATCTTTACCTTTGATGAAACAGGACTGTTTAATGGATTTATAATTTTTATGATTACCAATATGGCTCAAATTTTATCTGCCATTTTATTATTTTATATCTTCTAATGTGATAGTTTCCTTTTGCTTTGTCCTCCCTCTCTTCTGTCCTTTTTCCCTTCTCATTGTATGTTTCTTTACTCTTTTTCCCATCTCCTGCAGTGTTTTCCAGTGGAGGTGCCTCTGGCAGTTGTTCTGGCCATTCCCTGCTGTGTGTGGCTGCTCTGTACTTAGCAGGACCTCTTAATGGCCCTGTCACTAAATATTAGCAGCATCCTAGTCACTGGCACAGTCAAAAGCACACGTGCATGTTTCCACATGCCTCCTTCCGTGGCATGCCCTCCTACCTGCAAACACGTGCTGACTAGTTTGGGACCTAGGTCTACCATTTTCCTTCTCTTTATTATCTTTATTTTTCTAACTTAACTTTTAGTTTTATCTTAGTAACATACGTGCATAGTTTAAAAACTCAGATAGTACTGTGAGAGTTATAATACCCAACAACAAAAAAGGTCTTTTATGTCACTCCTCTCTGCTTCTTATTTATTTTCCTCAAAGCCAATGCTTTTGAGTCTTTTCACTTTTACTAGGATTTACTTTATGTTTCTAAAGAGCATGCCTTGCTGTGATGACAGTCTTAGGACACCTTTGGATTAACCATGAAAAAATAAATAAATAAAAAATAAAAAAATAAAAAAAAATAAAGAGCATGCCTATACAGCTATTATTTGATGTTCTAGTTGAAAATATAACATATTGACTTCCTATTATGTCAGATTAGATTTTTTTTTTTTAGGCCTGCTTACAGTATCTGCTCACAAAGCAAACTTTCTCTTCTCCATTTTCTAATGTGAGTATTTGGGAATTAAACAAATTTGGTTAAATTATCATTTAGTTTTTGCATCACAGTTTTATGTAAATATTGTGTGCAAGTGAGCCTAACATCCTATGACTTTCTTTTCTTGTACGGTTTTTATTTTTGCCTGAGAGTTAATACTTTGTTGTTGTTGGCTTCCTGTTCTGTGATTCTTTCACTAATTCACCCCCACACTGTCTGCCAGAAATGTAAATTACTTCTTGACATGTTCATACACATCACATACTTCATCCGTTTCTTTTGTTTTTATTTTCTTGGAGACATCCTTCTGGAACCCTCCATCCTCCTGTGCCGTGATAGTGAAATGCGTTTCTACTTGGTATGGTGGTTTTTCTTATCACTTTTGGGGCCCTCATCCCTTCTGAATTAGCTTCAGGCACAGGGCACTGTTTCTAGATCAGGGAATCTTTGCTCTCCACAACCTCAAAGTTTCACATAGAATAGTTATGTCTAATATTCTTAATGAATGTTAGTTGTAAAAATATATAAATGTTTTCATTTGAAAGTACATCAGGTCACAATTTTTGAATGGCAATTACTTGAATTTTTAACTATGTCTCCTCTTTTTTAAAAAAATTAATTTATTTATTTTCAGCCGCGTTGGGTCTTTGCTGCTGTGTGCAGGCGTTCTCTAGTTGTGGCGAGCCAGGGCTACTCTTTGTTGCCGTGTGTGGGCTTCTCATTGCGGTGGCTTCTCTTGTTGTGAAGCACGGACTCTATGAGCGCGGACTTCAGTAGTTGTGGCATGTAGGCTCAGTAGTTGTGGCTTGCAGGCTCTGGAGCACAGGCCTGGTAGTTGTGACTCACGGGCTTAGTTGCTCTGTGGCATGTGGGATCTTCCCGGACCAGGGCTAGAACCCATGTCCCCTGCACTGACAGGTGGATTCTTAACCACTGTGCCACCAGGGAAGTCCTATATTTCCTCTTTCAAGTAAAGAATTTGCAATCACTTACAAACATGGAGACAGCTTTTCCACATTTCTGTGAAGCAATGACATAGCAAACATCAATATTCCTATTTTATGTTAAGCATGCCACACAAAAAGCATTTTCCTAAGCACACACTGTTCCCATATGCCATTCTTGCTACTGGAGAAACAAAAATAAGTGAATGACACCTGGACCCTGCCTTGACAGAGCTCAAAGTGCAAAGGAGGCAAAAGATGTTTTTAATGTTGACTCGACACTATCTGTTATTTGTCCAGTGTGTACCCTGATGAGGGTGTGATCATGAAGAGTTAGAGAATGCTCTTGAGAAGAGGTTGTAAAGTAATGTCATTTGGGGGTTTTGAAGGAAAAGTATATATACACACACACAAGTCAGACACTTATTTAGTTTTTGCTTGACGTGATTTCCTTTGTGCAGAGGACTGAGGTCTGTATAGATCTATGTCCTCACAAACGGCATTGTCATGGAAAAAGTGAAAGTGACATGACACCATTTGTAATGACGGCTTCTAAACCAGGTAGCCGAGGACCCCGCAGACCCAGTCATGCAGGTCCAGACACTGAATCTTCATCAGAGGCAAGTTTGCAAATATGAGTTACAGTGCTTCCTACCTGTGTACTCTGGCATCAAGAGCTGGCCACAGAAAGAAGAAAAAAGAGCAAATGGTCACTTTTTGTGTAAATTTTTAGTTAGTATTTATTGCATTGAGTCTAGAAGACTAGAAAACTAACACTTGCTGGACACATACAATCTGCCACACGCCCTGTAGACACTTTGGCTTTGGCTCAGTTGATCTTTATGAGAACCCTACAAAATGGATATTATCCTCTCACTTCATATACAGAGAAATCAAGTAGAGATGGAGCTGAAACTCCTCTATGCCAGCTTTAGAGCCTGTGCTCTTTCCATAATCCTTTGCAGCCTTGAAAGTTTTTGATATTTTTATTTGTAGGTAATGTCAATATTTTACATTTTTTTTGTGGGAGTCCTTTCTATGTCCTCGTATGGTAAGAATTTCAGAGACAATTTTATTTTCTTCCAAATTACTAAAAAACAAAATACAGGAATTTGTCATTTTTGCCAAAAATATTGCAACAATCTGCTAACTGGTCTTTGGGCTTCTAGTGTCTTCTTTCTGCAATTCACCCCCGCCATTGCCACTGAATTACGCGTTTGCTTTTCCCTTATCAGAGCCACTGTTATAACTCCTACTCATCTTTCAGCACCTGCCATAAAATGTTTTCTCGTGGGCAAATCTACCTGCCTCCCAATGACGGAAGTAACTCTTGAGTGCTTGCTTCTTGGTTCTCCCATAGTGCTTTTACGTGATTTTAATATAGCTCTTACCTTAATGTAGTCTAAGACTTTATTTGTCTGATATCAACTAGACTGTGAGATCCTCAAAGGAAGTTAGATATTGCATTTATTATTTGGGAAATGTGTAGAGGTGGAACGAAACATTAATTCACAAAGAAAGATTTCATTTTGTCTAAGACTCACCTAAGTTATAAGTAATGAAGGAGTTTAAACTGTTGATGTCAGTAAGGGTAGGACTAGGGTATCATGTTTTGATAGTCACAGCTATTAGCTATATGATATTGGAAAGTTACTCATTCTTTATACTTTTGTTCTTATTAGTAATAGTAGTACGTCTTCTAAGGGTTGTCATGAGGGGAAGAATGAGATGGCCGATGTAAGTTTTTGATATAGGAGTGATAGAAAGCTAAGGCTCAGTAAATGGCCCTTATTATGAACAATGAAATGTATTATAAGATTTGTTTGTTCAAAAAACAATAGCAGGCTTTGTGCAGTGGCAGTATCGTAGCCAATGATATTTATCCGAGGCACGATTATTGCTAACTGAAAACTTTTCCCAAAAAACAATAGCAAAAAACATTTATAATTTATGTGTATAGAATCAAAAATAAAACTGATATCCACATACTCACCATATTTCTAGGACCCCCTCTTCAGTACTTTCTCCTACCCCTTTTCCCAGAGGTACCCACTAAGATGAGTTTTGCATTTACTCATTCCTTGCTTTTCTTTATGATTTTATCATGGGAGACTATATAGCTGAACAATTTCTTGTTTAGCTTTACATGTTTTGGACATTGTATAAATGGAAATACATTGTGTGTATTTTTTGCTTCTTCCCTCTCAATATTATATTTGGGAAATTTATGCATGTTGATACAGATATGGTTCATTCACTCTTACCCCTGTATAGTCTTTCATTGTATGACTATTCCATAGTTTATTCATTCATTCATTGATTTGTTGTCCTGACAAAGGAAATTTGGGCTGTTTCCAGTGATGGTTTTTGTTGCTGCTTTGCAATCATGGTTATATATGTCTCCTGGTCTACATTTGTAGAAACAGGATATATGGTGGTATGTGAATTATGGGGTTTTGGGATATATGCTTCTTCAACTCTACTAGATATTTCTGTATTGTTCTCCTACCAGCATTGTATAAACATTCTTGCTTTGCAACAATCTCTCTAATGCTTGATATTGCCCAACTTTTAAATTGTGCCAACTGTGTGGTTGTAGAAGAGTATCTCATTGTGGTTTTCATTTGCATTTCCCTGTTTTTTAATGATCTCCTATGTGTTTTTAAATGTTTACTAGCCATGTGTTTCTCATTCTGTGAAGGAACTATTCACATCTTTTGTCCATTTTTTAATAATCTTATTGGTCTTTTTAATTGAACTATCCAAATACAAATGTGGATCTGTCTGTCTTTGCAGTTCAATCAGTATTTGCTTCATGGATTCTGAATCTCTGTTATTAGGTGAATAAACATTTAGGATTGTAAATCCCCTGAATATATTGACCCCTTTTAATATTATTAAATGGCTTTCCTTATACCTGGTAATATTCTTGCTCTGAAATCTACCCTGGTATTAATATAGCTACTCCAGTTTTCTTTGATTAGTGTTAGCATGGTATATCTTTTTAATCCTGTCACTTTTAACCTTCTTTTGTCTTTATATTTAAAGTGGGTTTCTTATAGGCAGTATATAGCTGAGTCTGGTGTTTTAACCGATCTGATAATCTCTGCCTTTCAATTGGGTTGTTTAGATTCATTCATCTTCAGTGATATTATTTATATGGTTAGGTTTAAATCTACCATCTTGCTATTTGTTTTCTATTTGTTTCATCTGTCTTTATTCTCTTTCCCCTCTTTTTATCTCTTTTTCAGATTTTTTTATAATTCCATTATATATTCTTTTGGCTTTTAGCTATAATTCTTTTATTAATTTTTTAGCTATAAGTCTTGTTTGTTTTCTAATGCATGCATTAACTAGATACCACAATGTTTTACTATTTTTTGTGATTTAGTTTTTAGTATTTTTTGTTGACCACTATTATGCCTTCTTTATTTTTTAATTAATTAATTTTTAATTATTTTAGCCCTAGCATTTTTTTTACATTTTATTTATTTATTTAAACATCTTTATTGGAGTATAATTGCTTTACAATGTTGTGTTAGCTTCTGCTGTATGACAAAGTGAATCAGCTATACGTATACATATATCCCCATGTCCCCTCCCTCTTGTATCTCCCTCCCACCCTCCCTATCCCACCCCTCTAGGTGGTCACAAAGCACCGAGCTGATCTCCCTGTGCTATGCAGCTGCTTCCCACTAGCTATCTATTTCACATTTGGTAGTGTATATATGTCAGTGCTACTCTCTTACTTTGTCCCAGCTTACCTTTCCCCTTCCCCGTGTCCTCAGGTCCATTCTCTATGTCTGCGTCTTTATTCCTGTCCTGCCTCTAGGTTCATCAGAACCATTTCTTTTTTTTTTTTTAGATTCCATATACGTGTGTTAGCATGACCTAGCATTTAAGAAAAAATTTTTTTTGGCTTTGCCACACAGCACGCGGGATCTTAGTTCCTGGACCAGGGATTGAATCCATGCCCCTTGCAGTGGAAGTGTGAAGTCTTAACCACTGGACCACCAGGGAAGTCTCTATTATGCCGTCTTTGCTTTTAAGCTATTCTGATGTTCCTTTTCAGATTTTTGAAAGAAAAAGGTAATATTCTTTAGTTATTGAATTCTAATATTATTGGTCAGAGATTGCCATCTTTATTTCTCCAGCTTTTTGAAATTTATGGCAACTTTATTTATGGACCAATTTGTGCTCAGCTTTCATGATGTTTTTGTTTGAATGAAAACAACATATATTTTTCAATTGTAGCATTCATTATTGTGCAGTGTCATATATATCAATTAGGTCAAGTTTGTTAATAAATGCTATACTTATTCTCTCTTGTTTCAGCTGCTGAGAGAGGTTTTAGTATCAAGGTTATTCTAACCATGTGAAATGAGTTGAGGAATTCTTTCTTATTTTTTGGAATAATTCATGAAAGAGTAGAGTTTATTGGTTTTGTTCTTTAAATGTTTGCTAGAACTTGGGTTGATTAAAACCCAAGGTGGAGTTTTGGGTTATGGAGGTGGATTTGTCAACTTTACATTTCAGTTGTGTCAATTTTGCTTCACATGTTTTGAAACCAGATTCTTAGATGCATACATATTTAAAACAGCACCTTATCTCCAGTGCTTTTTTTCCCCTCCTTGAAGTCCTTTGCTTTTTTGGGGGGTGGATATCTTTCTCTATATTTTGACTTTCAATGTTTCTTATGTCTTAGGTGCGTTGGTTAACAGTATATCACTGAATTTTAAAAATATATATAGTCTGACAATCTCTGTCTTCTATCTGGGGAGTATAGCCCATTGACATATTGTTATAAGTGGTTATATATCTTGTCATACCATCTTATTTTATGCTTTTATTTTTCTTATTTCTTTGTTTACTTTTTATTATTTTCCTGCCCTCTTTTATATGTATTTAGTTTTCCTCATTTAGCATAATGGTTAAGAGCATGGGCTCTGGAATTCAACTGTCTGAGTTAGAATCTCAGCTTTATCACAAACTGATCTAGGCAAATTAATTTAACCTCTTCATTTCTCAGTTTCCTTACCCAAAAATGGGGATAATAATTGCAGTTACTCATAATATTGTTGCGAAGCATCAATATAAAATGCTTAGAACAGAGCCTGGCACAGACTTGCTATATATGTGTTGGACTTGTCTTTAAAAAGAAATTACATTTTTTTCTTTAAGTGCTTACCCTAGAAATTTTAACCTGAATATAAAATATAACAAAGTAAAATGTTAATCAATATCTTTAGTCCCCTTCTAGAGAGTATATGAATCTGAGAACACTTTAACTCTGATTTCTTACCTTGGTGCTTATATATATATATATATATATATATATATATATATTTCTTTTTTGGGGGGCCCAGCATTTTAGTTCTATCTAGTTATTCTTTTTAATTCTCACAAAACAGACATTTTATTATTGTTTTATACTTTAATAGCTTGTTTAGATTATCCACATATTTAATATCTATTTTCTATGCCATCTTTTCTAATGTTTAATATAATTTCTTAAATTCATCTTCATGCTAACTAAAGTTAATATAGCAAAATAATTTAAAGAGTTAAAACAAGACTTTCAGAAACCATCAATCCCTTGTTCTCTTCCATGTTCCTCTCTCTAGAGGAAATCCCTTTTAATTCTTTTGGTTAATCCTTTTGGCATTGACTTCTATATCTTAAATATCATGCTTATATTACTAGTTTTTGAGTGTTTTTTCCTGTTGTAGGCATAATCTATTGACTTTTCCCTGTGAAAGATGAAGATTTACCCATTTGTCCACTTTTTCTCCCTCTCCCTTCCCACTTTCATCACCCCCATGCACAATTAGAATGGGAATAATTGCTAAGTTGTTACAAAGTTTGTTTTGCACAATGAAAAGGGTTCTGGAGATAGATGGTGATGATCGCCCAACAATGTGAATGCACTTAACGCCACATAACTGTACCCTTAAACATGGTTGAGGTGGTAAGCTTTGTGTGATGTGTATTTTACCCCAATTAGAAATATTCTTGTCAGCTAGAGGGTATACTGAAATGTGTGTAGATTAAATGAAGAAGCATGGGTGGGATAAAGATGAAACAAGGTTGGCAAAAGTTGGAAACTGCTGAAGCTGAACCAGGGGTACATGGGGCTTCACTGTACTATTGTGCATGTTGACAGTTCTCTAGTAGATTTTTAAAATTTGAAAAAACTCAAACTAAATATTCTAGTAGTATAATATTCTTGAAGAAATATTTCCCATAGCCTATGGGAAATAGGCTGGTTTCCCATGGACTGGTTACTCCTTAGGTTTGCTGCACAGCTATGTCATTCCACAGAC